CCACTTCTGGTTCCTTGCCATTTCCATTCAATGGTTCTAATCCTGCCCTTAAAAGCTATCATGAACAAGATGGATCCCTCAATCCAATTTGGCAGCCTTTCACGTATTGAGGAACATTATCAAATCTCCCCTTAATTTTCTCTATGATACGGGATTAATGAATGAGTCCTACCAATTTCTCTAAAACATTTTCTCACATTTTCCACTTCTCTTTGAAAAAGGAGTTTGACTAATTAGTCTTGCTTTAATACAGGGTGGGCAGCTCTGGGGGTGATGGCAAGAAACCCTCTGGGTTGCTCTGGAGGATATCTGAATTCCCAGCAGAATTGCCCACTTCCAAGGCAATTGCTCTGTGGGAAAAGTGAAATTCTGCTGGGAAATAGGGTCCCCCCGACACACATTTCCAGCAGAATTTCTAGGACTCTAGCTGCACAGCAAGAATTTGGTCAAGGCCCCAAAGCTCAACCTGGAGGAACACATATTGCCCATGTTATAGCCTACCCTGGCTAAGGGATTCATCATGGACGATGAGGCTATAAATGGCTATGAGTGATGATGGCTAAATATCCAGAGAGAATGGATGGAAGAAAACAATGGGAAGAGCTGCTGCCCTTGGACTGGATCCAAGCTTGTCTTTCTGCAAATGCATAGGCTTTTTTCATCCTCAAAGGGAACAAAGATCCAGTGGAAATTTATGCCTGGAAGAAAGGGGCAGGATGACAAATTTATTTCTCCTTCTCCCTTATGCCCCACACCATTACCCAAAGGAGCAGCTTTTCATGGAGAAAGTGCCTGGAGGAAACAAATGAAAATTGCTGCCATATCCCTTCAACACAAGTGGAATTCTTTTAGGCAAACATTCCCCAACCCAGGGTCACTCAGCAGTGTCAAAATACAACTTCCATTATCTGCAGCTAACAGCTATGCTGGCTGGGAATTTGGGAGCTGCAGTCCAACACATCTGGATCCAGCACCTGATCACCTGTTTGTGGGCTTCCAGGAGTCTATTATGGTTGTTGGTGGAAAGAGGCCAGCAAACTAGATACACCATCTTAAGTACTTGATGGAGGGTATCCTGCTTGTTGAACAGGCATTCCACTTGTTGAGGACTGAAAGACAGAAATACTTTCTCAGAATTCATTGACAAATCTAGCAGATGACATCACACAGTTTTCTTCTAGAAAAAAAGAGACAAACCTCCATCTATTGTGGATTTTCTTAATGCTAGAAGAAAGGGGTTATGCACTAGCTATGGCACTAAGAAGTAGAACTGTTCTTTCTTTCCCCCTTTTCACTGGATTTGCAAATCAGTAGCACTGTCACTTTAATACACTTTCAGCATTCAGCAACTCAGATCTGCCTTCAGCAGAGAACGTGTCCAAATATTTGCCCAGTTCTGTCTGTGCTGAAGCACTCTGTGCATGAGGTGTGTGTTGCATTTTTGCATCCTCCACCAGCGTTATAGAGCAGGCAGCCACTTAAGGAGATGGGCCAGAGATCCATCGGCAGAACACATACACTCAGGCTCAAACATGAGCAAACAGGTTCAGGTAGCAGATTACAGGCAAAGTTCTGCCTTAGACCCTGCTGGGTAAGGATGTCAACCTTTTTTTAGCCTGGCAAATTCCAGTTTGGAGAAGCTCTCAGGGACTGCAACCGAGTGGGCTGAGGAGCTGAAAGCAAAGGAGATAGAGCCAAATTACCAGCATATTTTATTTTGATGCTCTTTGTCCCAGTAGTGCAGTCCTAGTGGAAGCATTTGACTTTTCAAAATGGGGAATAAAAACTGCACAACAGTGGGAAAACATCCAATGAATGGTGGTCTAGGAGAAAAGCCTGGGTCCCAGAGGGCTACTGAGCTTTTTTTCCCACTGTGGGTCACTTATATGGATCACTTATCCTCAGCTGGCCATTTATCAGTCCATCACATTTCTGTGGACCAGCTGCAAACTTTGTGAATCACTGTCCTGCATTGTGTGGATCAGAAATATTGCAACAATATTTTCTGCCATGGCGATTTGACTCAGCTGGAAATCCCCACAGGATGTGGGTCGCTGAGAAGCAGGCATGAAGTTAGTCAAATGAAAATAATGTGCAAGATGCTCAGATATTATGGAAATTAGGAGCATGGGTGGAATGTGCAACTCAGACATGTGCACACTCAGCCAGTAAGGTTACAATTACTTCACCTTGCAGAGGGCATGTATGTGCTTCCTCCATAAATGTCTGCACATGGGCCCTGTAGTACCATGGAAGATCATGGTAGAAGAGAAGCCAAGGTGGGAGAAGCCAATTTAATACAGCTACATGGCAGTGACAGCTCTGAGGACTTAATGTCCCATGCTCCATATTCACTACGCACCAGCAAAGCCTCGGCCCATTGTGGCCACCAGCATCACCCCAGGCGCAAAGAAGAGAACTCTTCTGTGTACTCCAGTTCCACTGCCCATCCAGTTTTTTCTCCTCCTAGCTACTAGAATTTTTTTAAGTTACTTCCGTACATGCAAAAGTGGTTGCTACTTCAGGTCTGCAGTTGACTACTCTGATGGGGTGGGAACTCTGCAGTTCTTCCCCATCGTTCCTAACCGTTTATCAGTGCCAGTGACTGAACTGGGATGCTCTGCAGGCTTTGGACCTATTTTGCCAATGATTAGCCATCTGATCCTGAAGACCGGCAGCTGAGCTCATGACTGGCTTTCCCCCACTGAGCAAACTTTTACCTTTGCACAGGTGAGCAACATATGGTCCCTGGTCCACATGCCACTCTTTTCTCCTTCTGGGCAGCCTCTGCCGCTGTGTGAACTGAGTTTTAAGGAACCGATACAGAAATGCTGTCTGCTTTGCTTGATGTGCAATGGCTGTTCCACACATTCTTCGCACAAGCAGTTGCAGTGACAAATGTGTGTGTGAGAACTCACCAAAACGAGTAAGAGTCAAAAGAGGACAGGAGGGAGGAGGTATTCTAGCTTTTTAATGAACGCAGCTCTCTTCCTGTGTTGCCTGATTCATCTTTTAGGCAGTTTTATTTGTGGTTGCAGAAGGCTCCATGTTGCTATGCATTTTTCTCACCACCTCCACACCTGACATCTTTGGCAGAACAAATGTATGCCATTATAAAAGAACCCAGAATGGTCTCCAAACACTGCGCTAGTGCCAATCCAGAAGTAAAGTGAGAATCAGTAAAAACTCCATTTGCAATGCTATGGCCTTTTGTCAAAATTCTGAGTCTAGTATTACTAAACTGGGGAACTCAGCATGTATTCAGAAATAGTATTAATTCAATAAGTTATTATTATTACTTCATAGTAAGGTTGTTTTCTGCTATCTAACTAGCACATCATTTTTGCATTTCATTATTTTCTCATGCTGTTCTCCTTACGAATAAATGTATTTCTCTGTGTAATGCCCCTTGGGTCATTATCACCATTTTATATTGCATTTTTGCTCCAAGAAGCTGACGTATATAGTTTCTTCCCTTCTCCATTTCATCTTCACAACAACCCTGTAGTGTAGGCTAGGATGCAAGACAAGTGAGGCTGTAATTATGCAATATCCACCTCATTTATGGGTTTTTTTTAGGGGTGGGTGGAGGATATTGCATAGTGACAGCTTCAATTTGTACCCTGAATCTTTTGTTGGAACTCCCAGTTCTCTGAGAGCCTGGCTTTTTTACCATTCTGCTGGCCATGAGAACTTGCTAAAAATAAAGGGCTAAGGGCACCAGGATTGACTGGCTTTTTGTACCTCCTGTTCCCACCCCTCCATCCTAGATTCCCCCCTCCCTGAAATCAAAGGCCTTCCTCTCACTGGTCCATACATCAATATGTGTGTAACAGGAGACTGGGTCCTTTGAAGGTGCAAACACAGGGACTTCTGAGCATTTGTACATTGTATAAATGTGTTCTCTTTGTTTTCTTTTTTTGGTCCTGCCGGCTGCTAGTATGGCTACTGTTGCAAACTATTAATAGTACTAATCCAGTTGCTGTGTGTAGTGGTTAGAGTGCTGGGCTGGAACTCAGGAAATCTGGGCTCCCGTCTCCACTCAACCCTGAAGTTCACTGGGTGACTTTGAGTCTCGGCCTGTCTAACTCATAGGCTTGTTGTTGGGAGGGGAAAACAGAAAGACGAGTCTTTCAGGCCACCTTGCGTTCCTCTCAAAAGTGAGAAATGCAGGCTGCAAATGTAGTGCAATAATAATAAATTGCACTTTTCCTCTGAGAAGGTCAACGGGACTTATTCCCAGGAAAGTATGTACAGGCTGCACTGTAAATGGAGTTATCGCACTTGGTATGCCTGCAAACACAGAAAGGTCTGGAGATGATAACGAGGGCAGTAAGCCCACTTTCATTGCGATCCGACACACACGCTAGCCAGGGTGAGGGTGGCACCATGAATCGTTTCCGACAGCAGTCACGCTCAGGTGAGCAAAGATCCAGGCATTTCAGCCTTGATGAATTCGTCGTAGTTCTGAGATCGAAAATGAAATAATCGAACGCTCTTCCAAGCCCTGCCGTGCACCCTTTAACCGTCGCCGTGTCCTGGGGCGACATCCTATGCGAGTTTACCCAAGAGTAAGTCCCACCGTGTTGAGCCTACTCCGCGGCGTTTAGGGCAGCGGCCACGCGCGGCTCTTGCCGAATGTCTTGCGCGCAGCTCCTTCTCAACGCACGCGGTGTCCGCGAGCGGATTCCTCGCCGCCGTCGCGGGGATGCGGGGAGACACTCTGCACATGATCTATGAACCTGCATTATGACTCCCCCTGTGTCGACTTCGAGCTCTTGCACTGACTGCAGGCCCTGCAGCCGAGCCGAGCCGAGCCGAGCCACGTCCCCCCAACGCCGGCCGCGCGCGAGCCCCCGACAGGCCTCTCTGAGCAGCAACCCAGCGCGCCCCTGCCTGGCGCACGCCGCAGGACTACATTTCCCAGAGTGCCCAGCTCCCAGGGCTCCTCCCCGCTGGCGCGGCGCAGCCCTCTCTTTCCCCGCCCGCTCCGAGCCCCGCGGGAGGCAGGAGGACCGGAGCGCGTGGCGGAGCGGGGCTACAAGTGCCTCTTTCGCAGACTTTGATGGAGCGGCTCGGGATGAACGACGGCGCCACCCCAGCCTGGTGGGCGCAGACGGACGGAGCAGGTACGTGCAGACGAGAGCACGGGATGCGCAGCAGCCGGGACGAACCCATCGGTCGCCGGGCGAAAGATAAAGGCTGCCGCCTGCCTGCCCTTTGCAGATAAACCCCAGGGAGGGAAAAGGACGGAAAGAGCGCTCTCCTGCCGGGGAAGCTCTCCTTTGGCATGCTGGTGGCGCTTTGCAGCCGAGCCCATTAGCGCTGCCGTCCGAAGTGCAACTTGCTCAAAGGACAGTGTAGTGTGTCATGGAGAATATATTGCACGCACTCCTATAGATTTCAAAAAGTCCTCAATGGATCTCTTTCTCTCTCTCTCTCAAGTCAGGATTTTCCTTTCCTTTTTCTTCCCCAAGTTTCCCGTCCTTCGCTCTCGCGTGCCGTTATTCGCACCGGGAGAACTTGCCTCCGTTTCTCTGCAGCACCGTCTCTGAGGCGTAATTTCGTTGCAAGCATGTTTTTTGTTTTGTTTTTTCCATCAGCGCTCGAGATCTGCTCTCGGAAAGTGCTGCTTTCCCTCCTCCTGGGATTATCAGATTTCCACGGGAGAATAGAGATCCTGGATTACTGAGCGACAAGGGATTTGCTTGCTTCTTCCTAATTAGACTCCGCATTTGAATTTGGGCTTCTCAGATCTCAGTTCGTCGAGTTTGCCCTTCCCAATGAATCCGTGGGCTTTGCACTTGAGTCCTCGAGGTAGAAGGGATGTGCATGTTTATGCATCCCTTTTATTTCCAGCGACTTATTTCCGTAAGTGGGTAGTGGTGTCAAAGGCTGATGAGACTTCCTAACAGAGTTTAGATCGGCAAGCGGATTGCGGCATTAAGTGCTTGATTAAAACAATCACATGTGTTGTTTCTCCACCACCCTCATCACAGATGCACACTGGGCAAAGTCAGGATAAGGGCTGGAGTCTATAGGATGTTTCTGCTGCACTTGGCTTTGTCTAATAACCTCTCATGATGATGAAGCTCTTTCTCCCCCTGCCCCCCTTTGCATTTGCAGATTGAAAAGGAATGCTTGTCCAAGGGAATTTGTTTAATTGGGTAGTGGCTGAAACAGATGCCCAGCAAAACAGTGGCTGGAGTGTAGAAAGCTGCCCTGAGTGTGCCATGCTACGGGGAGGTCATAACCAGCACCATTTGCTGAAGCATGGGCTTATTGTGAAGGGGAAACGGGGGCTCCCTTGAGTGGTGCTCCCAGGGCATGCATGGAACTCCTGTGCCTCGCCAGTCAGGGCAGCCAGCCGAATCGGCGCCACAGCATGGACCGGTGCTTGCAAACTCTTCCATTTCAGGGGCCAGCTGACGAAAGCGAGGCAAGGACTAAAACGCTGGCGATGTCTGCCGAGCGCTCCGAGTGGCACTGCAAAGCCCCCCAAAGGCCAGCCAAAGACGATCCCGCTCAGGCTTCCTTTTCGTTCCCTGCCACACCTTCGTGGTCTCCAGACCATGCAGCTGCAGGTCAGGTTGCCTGCCACCCCACTCTTCCCCTTGAAGAAAAGGAAGCTGTGATGCAGAAGAGAGCCTGTTGCTGTGAATCTGATACGTCCTTCACTTGCGTGGACGAAAACGTCAACAATCTTGACCACACGGGAAGCCTTGCACACCAGGGCTGTTGCCAAGACCTGGATCTCCTTCCCCATCCTGAGCCGTGTGGAGAGCGGCCACTAGAATGGCCCTACGATCCGCCCTCACTGGTTTCCGAGGAAGATGACGATGCCACCTCAGAAACTGCCGGAAAGTCTGTTGATTACGGCTTCATCAGTGCAATCTTTTTCCTGGTCAGTGGGATTTTGCTAGTGATTGTTTCTTATGTAGTTCCCAGGGATGTGACCGTGGACCCCAACACGGTGGCGGCGAGGGAGATGGAGCGACTGGAGAACGAGAGTGCCAAGGTCGGGGCTCATCTAGATAGGTGTGTGATTGCTGGGCTCTGCCTTTTGACCCTGGGGGGTGTGGTGCTGTCCAGTTTGCTCATGATTTCCATGTGGAAAGGAGAGCTCTACCGGCGGAACAGGTTCGCTGCCTCTACAGAAACAGCCAAGTTGTACGGCTCCTTCAATTTTCGAGTGAAATCCTCTCCAAACGATAATATGGAGTTATCGTTAGTTGAGGAGGATGTCCTTGCTGTAGATGGTTAGGTTGCCCTGGATGCTGTGAGGCTGCAAAGAATGCAAAGGGGTTTTTTTCCATTAAATGAAACAAATGAAGCTTAACTTTGCTAGCATTGCCTGACAGCAGCATCTTTTCCTAGCACATTAAAACGGAATTGTTGCTTTATATAGACATGTATTCGTGGGCAAAAAGGAAAGAGATAATAATCAAAATAATCTATGCTGTCATGTTTGGATTAAGACGGACAGAGCATGGCTCTGTTAGTGTTTACAGGAAGGCTTCTGTGGCTGAAATCCAGGCACGTGAACTTGGAAGTAAAAGTTCCCTTGAAATCTGTGTCACCCAGGGCTACGTAAGGAGTGGGTGGGCTCTCTCGTATCGCTGGTAGGCTCACATGGCTTTAGCTGCAGAGCTACATCGCCTGGGTAGAAGGATGCCTTCCATCTTCAGGCAGGCACTGATGGGGAGAGGGTCTAGGAGCACCGTTCTCATTTTCCACAGTGCTCAAGAATGTTGAGCGATGCTCCAACACGCCCTGGTACACAAGAAAGACATTGTCACTGAGGCTTCTGGGTTAGGGTGTGGGGTATTTACTGTGGTCCTGCATGTGCATGGTTTGAGGACTGAAGAAGTGAGCAGTGGCTCGTAGAGGAGAATCACGTGGGATCGCATCTCTTCAATGCAACGTCTTTTGCTGGAGTGAGTTCATCTGTTCAGCTGAAAGTCAGCCCACGTATGCTAATCGAGAGTAAAAATTTTGAGCGGTATACATGTGTGTGAAAGCCAAACCATGATGAGCTGACAGTCAAACCTTTTGGCTGGCTGCACTGCCAAACGTTCTCTTCGCAGCAAAAGGAAAGTTCGCTCCGCGAGGCCGAATGTGTGACATCTCGTTCTCACACCCATACACAGGGTTGTGTGATGTTGCAATCAGCAATTGGTGCAGGTGTGACTCACCCCCAAACAGGCCCACGTGCAGCGACTTCATTGCAAAGCTACACAAGGTGCTAAGAAAGAGTTTTGTCTGGGTTGCTGCATCCACACTGGCCTGTTCACACATAGGAATGATGAACCAGCTTTTGTGCCTGACTGAGTATGTTTGACATCAAAGTCTCAGTCTTAAGAGAGGTGCTAGGATTTAATTCTCACAAACAACATTTTGGTACTTGGAATCATGCATTCTCATTGTGTGCTAAAATAATCCCTGTAGTCTTTTAAAAAGCTAATCCAGTCCGTATTTCTTTCTCTTTTCCTCCCAGAACCTCAGATAAACATTAATACTTTGTCACTCTAAAAACTCTAAACTGTAATAGCCTATGTGAAGAGCTATTAACAGACTGTGTGGTAGTATGCTAAGAGACACCAATAAGCAACTGTCAGGACTGGCAGGCAGTATCTGCAGCTAAGGATGGGGAATGTTCCTTTTGAATTTAAGCACTTTGTACTTTATCAGGGCTACTGTTCTTTTTCTTTATCAGTTTATCTCTGCTGAAATTAGTACCCCTTTAATGCCCACAAGTGTTGTGATTAGATGGTTAGACTTATGACTTAGTCCTCCAGATGGGGCTTACAAGGATCAGTAATATGGTGGTCCCTGCCCCACAGATACAGAAAGGATAAAGGATTGGGGCTGTAAAGGAAAACCCAGGACTCACACACTAGTTCTTAGTTACAGAGCCTTATATGTGTTATTTATGGCAGTGGGGAGGGAAACTAGCCTCCTTCAGCTGCTCCTCATATAGATGGATGCATGGATGGGGCAAATCCCTTTACAATGGATGGGGCCCTCCCTTTACCATAATGCTCTCCCAAGCCAAGCCTGCATGTATACCTTGTTCTTACATGGAGGTTTCACTAGAATCTCATCTGGAGTGCTGATCAGAGCTACATGTGCTTAGCTTAAGAGAGCACCACAATCTCTGGTTCTCCCTGGCCTATTCACAAGGCTCTCTCAACAGAGCTTCTGACGGTGCTGAACTCTGGCTTTGGGCATTTCTCAAAGGAGCTCTAGTTTGCTTGACCGGCATACAAGAAGGCAGACATTTGCAAAGTGGAGGCTTGAACTGGTTTCTGGAACACTGAAACATCAGACAAGGAAGGAACACATGAAACATCTCTGGGAAAGCACATTATGTTAAACAGCTGGGTATTTACATGGCACAAATGTCTGCCCCCCATATGGCTAAACTTACGAGTTCATCCATTTCAGTGGGGCTTTTCCAGGAGTCTTTTGTGCCGATTCTACCCAGGTTCACAGGAAGCTTTCTCCACCATGCTTCCCCTAAACTTTATGGTAATCTGTATGCTTGATCACACTGGCAGCATGACTCTGTGGTGTGTGTGGTTTTTGCCTTGGTTTTGGCATTGTGCCATTCATTCTTCCTTGCATCCATGCTGGCAAATCAAGAACCAGGATGATACACTGGTTAGATTTCACAAAGAGATCCCCTAGTGCCCTCTAGTTGTTCTGTTCTACAATTCCAGTCAACCCTAGCCAGCAAGGCCAATGGTTAGAGATTATAGGAATGGTACTTTAAAAGTTCTGAAGGACACTGGATTGCCTACCCCCGAATCACAGTATCAGACTAACACCCAGGAAGGCCTGGAATCAGATCTCTGGCCATCCTCAAAGCTTTCTAAGTCAGTCATTGTCTCTTAGCCTAGCCTACCTCACAGGGTCCTTGTGAGGATACATTGGGAGTGGGGAAGCATGTACTCTGTACTTTTTAGAGGGAGAGTAGGCTATTAGGGAACCAAGGTTTGAATGCCAGGAAGTGCTTCCTCACAGTTAGGACCCCTGGGATATGGAATGGGCTTCCATAGGAGGTGGTTGAAGCCCCATCGGTGAGGGTGTTCAAGGATAGGCTGGTCATGCCCTTGGGAGGCATGTCAGGAGTGGAGCTGGCTGGAGCCGGGGGTCAGACTAGATGGCCCTTCTGACTCACTCTGTTTCTATGTTTCTATTAATCAGATGGATAGCATTTCTTGTTCCAATGCTACTGCCACTGTTTCTGCCTAGTGGACTGGTCCTGAGAGTTCTGGATGTTGGAGCGAAGTGAGTTTTTAGGCTGTGGAGCCAACAGCCACATATAAAAAGTGCAAGACCTCTCAAAATGTTTTGTTTCTAAGCAGTGTTGCTTCCACAGATTTTCCACCAGTGCTATGCAGCTGATTAAAAAAAAATCCTTTAAGGACCAATGTGAGATATGCTAACATGAAAACCAGACCTCTCACAGGAACACTGACTTAGCAGAGCTTCTCAAAGCAATAATAATAATTAGTGATTTAAAAACTCACTTCACGTTTAAATAAAGGTCCATGCTAATGGACCTTTCCCAGTCCCAAATGAATACTTCTCAGAAACAATTTGTCTTCAGCTTGCTTTTTCTTGTAATACACTTTCCACATCCACCCCCCCCAAGACAACGAAAAAGTGTTTAGCTGTATAAAGCCTCTGCTAGACTGTAATATAGAAGAAATACTAGCCACAATACAAAGTGTTTGTCTCCCGTGACTCATTTCCAAAGAGAACAACAGGTTTATGCGTCTTTCAGCCACGTTCTGTGTTCCTGGACCAATGGGGCCGTTCCTAGGGGGAAACGGTGGACTTTGGGACAGACATGTGAGGGTTCCCTTGCAGCAGAATAAAGGAGAAGCCCATTTTCCATATTTTGAAGGCAGTGAAGGGATACACATGATGTGCAAAGTATTGATGGGCACGAAACATTAAAAAGATAAAAATGACCTGGTGCAAAGCAGCTTTTAAACTGCTAGAGCTAGAATGTATACCAAAAGCCTGGAAGAGGGCAAGAGACCAGTGGGAAGGTTAATGTGCAAGGTCAAGCAAACTATTAGAGAAAAGAGGGCTTATTTTCCTTCTGAAAATGGAAGTCTTTCCCAAATGAGGATAACGAAAGCTCACACAAAGAGAATGCAAGCAAATGATGGGAGGGACCAAAAGACAAAATCATTTTGTGGCACCTATCTCTAAGATCATCAAGACTACCAAGAAAAAATAATTTAAATATATCAGAAGCAAGAAGCCACCTGAGGAGGCAGTAGGACCATTGGATGACAATGAAGTTAAAGGCGTACCAAAGGATAGCTCAGTTTTGGTAATTCCCAAGGAATGATGTGGAATCAATTGCAAAGCTGGGAGAAACCATGTTGGGAACATAGAATACTGCCTTATATCAGGTCAGACCATTATTCTGTCTAGATCAGGGTCATATATGTGATCGGTATCAGCTTTCCAGTTCTCAGGTGGAATCGCTTGCCAGTTGGACACACCCAGGGTTCAGCCTTGAATGTCCTACATGCCAACCACGGGTCCCCCCACTTCTGCATCCCATTGCCATCAGCTAGAAAAAGCCACCTTCACTAACCTGCTACATCTGGTAGACCAGATGTTTGGACTACCCTTCTAGCATTCCTGACTATTGGTCATGTTGGTAGGGGCTGTTGAAGTCTGAAACACCAGGAGAGCACCAGGTTTGAGATGGCTGGTCAAGGAAGTCTTTAAGTACCTGGTGAGTAGCATCCAAGGCACATTTGATCTTAACAACATTCATTTATTTATTTTTCCTGCTTCCTTTTTAAAACAATCTCTTATCCTGGCACCAACTAGGCTCAGATCTGCCTAGCTTTACTGCCTGTTTGTGTGGGTGTGGTGCGGAGTACGCCTGGGTTCATCTTGGTAACTGACCATGGCAGCCTGTAGCAGCTTCCACCAGTTTTGGCTGGTATGCCAGGCTAGGTGCATCCTTTTCTGGGCGAGTTTGGCATGACCTCAGTGATGCAGGGGCTCCTAAACTTAAGGCTGGATTACTGCCACGTGGCCTCTGTGACGCTGTGCTGAAGATTGGTCCAGAAACCGCGGCTAGGCAGAAAGCAGCACCTTGTCTCTCGCTGCAGGCTGCCCCTTTTCACCACACTACACCTTGGCCGAGGGAACTGCAGCAAGTGCCAATTTACTCTCGGGTGGAGTTTAAGGTTTGTTATTGGTGCATAAAGCTCTGAACAGCTTGAGACCTTGAGGATATTTGAGAGAGGTATGGAGGGCATGTTTTAGCAAAATTTGGGGAGTCAGCTAGTGGGGCTTGGGGGTTTCATTCAGGACACCCATACAGTTCTCCCTTAATTGATTTTTGAAACTTCTGTGTATTTATTTGATGTATACCCCACCTTTGTCCAAAGGAACATGATATTCAAGGCAATTTACAGTCAAAATAAGACCTGATGAAAGCAATACCAAATGCCAAAATATGAAAACACCACTTTAGCAGAATAAAAGCAGTATTCAGTGCTACAGACCCATTTACATGCCAAAGGCCTGCTTTAATCAAAAGATCTTTGCTTGCTGGGAGAAGGGCAGGGGAGAGGGAGTGAAATAAATCACCGATTGGAGGAAGTCTCACTGGTTGGGAGTGGCCACCAAATAGACCCTCTTCCACCCCACGACTAAGCATATCTCTGAAGCCAGTGGCCTTGAAAGAAGACCTCTCCTGAAGCAGGTTTGTATGGGAGAAGGCAGTCGTTTCAGGAAGCCTGGTCCAAAGTCAAGTAGGGCTTCATAGGTCATAACCCACACTTTGAATTTAGCCCGGAAACAGAGCATTAGCCAGTAAAACCACTAAATAATGGAGACACTGTCTGTTTCCTAAGACTGGTCCTAGTCAACATCTCTGGACAGTGCTCTGGACTAGGAAAAAAGCTTGCTGTTTATTTTTCTCATGAAGCTGTATTGCAGTTACTTTAGGAACTAGCT